ACGACAGTGCTGAGAACAGGATGTATGTTACAGCACAAACATAGTTTCTCTTTACGACAGTGCTGAGAACAGGACGTATGTTATAACACAAACATAGTTTCTCTTTACGACAGTGCTGAGAGCAGGATGTACGTTACAACACAAACAGTTTCTCTTTACGACAGTGCTGAGAGCAGGATGTATGTTATAACAAAAACATAGTTTCTCTTTACGACAGTGCTGAGAACAGGACGTACATTACAACACAAACAGTTTCTCCTTACGACAGTGCTGAGAGCAGGATGTATGTTACAGCACAAACATAGTTTCTCTACGACAGTGCTGAGAGCAGGATGTATGTTACAACACAAACATAGTTTCTCTTTACGACAGTGCTGAGAACAGGATGTATGTTACAGCACAAACATAGTTTCTCCTTACGACAGTGCTGAGAGCAGGATGTACGTTACAGTCTTCATGATTTATTAAGATATAATAAACCCACTTGACATGTCCTCTACGATTCATTCAAAACTATTAATACCTCTCCATGACTATTTATAACTAACAGGAAAAGCAAGTGTTTCTCAACATGATTAAATACACAGTTATTTTATTTCGGTGCCTCTAAGTAGATATTCAGCCTAAGTTTCATTGTTTGCAATCATGGTGTTCAGTTTTGAGCAGCTTTTTTTAATCAGTTAAATTATATTAGTTGTGGAACATTTTATTCTAAATACATGATATATTTCTTTTGTTTTAAAATGCATATTTACAAGAAACATTTATTATTTTATGAAGAATGAACATAGTATGAAAAAGCTAGTGTTAAGGAAATACACTCTTGAGTACAGATTACTGAACTAGGTTTCAACTCTTATGTATATACTTATATTTATTGTTATCAAAGTAACTAAAATTAGAAACTCATGTTACACAAGAAAGCAAATGAAAAATATTTCACTAAATCTGCTTGAGTTAACATGTGATTATAACTTGAGTGACACTAAGCTTTACCACTGTTGTTCATTTCTTCTCATATACTTAGATAGTGTTTAAAGGGTATTGTAAAGTAATAAAATTAAAAGCCAGCAGATGTATGGAAAGATTAGAAAACTGAGGATAAACTGTTAAAATCTGCAATCCTTCGAGAAAAAAAAAACATGAATTATTGATTATATTTTAAATTTCTCAACAGGAATATAAGATAATGTTTTACGGAAAACACCTTTTGATATTTATATAGAAGATGCTAGAAGTTATGCTAATGAAATATGAAAAAACGTATTTTATTGTTAACATGAAAGTCACCTTATGCCGAGACTTATTCAGTAAAGATTTTGTAAATTCACAGAAATATCTTTGGTTAAAAATTAACTTTTTTATATATACAACACACTTATAATTTTGACTCAAAGTTTACGACAATATACTTAGTACATTCAGAAATATAATAAATATTACTACACATGTAGCTCTTAAAAATGTGGCGATACAGCAATATGATACTCGTGAAGCCATGATACGATTGTATCGATACATCGTCTGATACGATTTATATATCTTCATGAAATTTGGCAAACTTTCAGTAAATGTTACAAGTCTTTTGTACAGAAAACAATCAGAATTTATAATGAAGTATTTTTGCTAAAAATTAATGATTAAATAAAGGAAGACGAGTATTGAGTACTACATGTTGTCTTCATTTCTTTTATCAAAAACATTACATGCAAAGTAACATAAAATAGATAAACATAAATTAACATATTTTATTTTATCTTCTCTTGCCAGCTGCCATTTATTTGATCAAACCTAAGAATTTGAAAAATCACTGTAAAGTGTGAAGTACTTAAATAAGACAATGTTAGTAATATAGATAATAAACTACAGACAAACTTTGTAACAAACCGTTGGTAAAACTTCTGTATCTAGATACGTATCGTATTAATTACTATGATGAGATACGCACCATTAGTAACTTGACAGAAATGGAGCTAGTCCCACGAACCAACTCCATTAAAAGATGTTAGAATATAACTAATAAAACTTAATAAAAACACTTACCATCTGACCTAGAAGAATTCTTTGGAATGTGGATTTTGAAATTTGACCCACCAAGTAGACTCCTAGAACTGCCAAAGTTTGGGTGAGTAGAGCAAACTGAGCAAACTGCAATGTAGAAATAGAAAGTTCAAAATAATTTAAGTAGAAATAACATATTCTTTTATAATTAAAATATTAAGAATTTAAGCTGTTGAAAGATTGAAATCAATTAACTTCATAAAACACAATAAATCATTTTCCTAACAAGATGGGTAGAAACTTCATAGAGCATGTAAATATCCTTTTAAAAAGATTTTATCTTTATTATAAAAAAAGATGTTTTTTGAATGTAATAAGGTTGTGTCATCAGCTATAATTATAAATAAAGAATTTTTAAAGCTGTATCACTGAATAGCGAGAGTAGTTAGAAACTTAACTATACAAAAACAACCACCTTCATCTTTTACAGATTCCTCTTCAATAAAGATTAACTTACTAAATCTTAGAAGAAGATTAGTTAAACTATCTCTTCTGGTTTAGAGGCTAATGTCCAAAGATTCCTGAACACTAAGAATTCATTCATCAGAGGTACAGAGAAGAATATCAAACTGACATTCGTCTTGAGTGTGACTGAACACCAGCGAGCTGTTGTAATTAGACAGAGGTGCAGAAGTTTTAAGAAAGAGATTCCAAGTTAAAGATACGTTAAACACTTAAAAAGTTTTTTTTTATAAAACAATTACCTGCCAAGCCAAAATGAAACAACCCGAAATAACGGCTATCGCCAACACATTCTTCCACTGTTTTTCCTGGTATCTGAAATTATAGTCGTAAATAAAACAAAATATACAAAACTTTAAACAGAACAACTTACATAAATTGTTTTAGAGAAGAAATTATGGCATTTAGAGTTAGGTAGATTTTTTTTTATTTCTTTCGGATCCTTCAATTCCACCAGTAAACAAAATTACAGCATTTCTACAGTGTAAAAAAACATGATAAAACCAGCACTGAAATTTTTTAATACATTCTTCAATCAAACATTGTTTATAATAAGTTTTATCACATTTACACCAATCTCAATATAAACACATCCTGAATTTTTCTTATTTCCAAAAACACTTTTTTTTTGTAGCTCAAACTGATTACGTGAAGAAATACTTCCATTACAGCTTTCATCTGTTTGTTTTGTTGTTAAGCACTGTGGGTATCAAAACCTGATATTTAGTGTTGTAAGCCTCGACTCTTACCGGTGAGTCACTTAAAACATTTGGAAAGATTAATATGTTTTAGATCAGTATTGCTGGTGTCTTTAATAGTTATGTTTTTCAACTTCTAACAACATCTGTGAGTTTTTCACTTACAAATTTCAGATTATACCTTATGGGTTCAACATTGTTAGGGTTAACAAAACCAAGAATAATTAAAATGTATGAAGCACAATAAAACTTCCAGTGATATGATAAAAATTAAAAATGACTTTTAACAACACCATGTTAACTTGTAGTGTTGACATTAAACTCCTTGTTAACTTGTAGCGATGACATTAAACACAATATTTCACTACAACAACACCAAATCTCATCACTACAAGTTAACATTATGTTGTGGTGAAACATAGCAGTGTTTAATCTCATCACTACAAGTTAACATTATGTTGTGGTGAAACATAGCAGTGTTTAATCTCATCACTACAAGTTAACAAAAACACCGCTATGTTTCACCACAACACCATGTTAACTTGTAGTGGTGAGATTAAAAACTGCTATGTTTCACCACAACATAATGTTAACTTGTAGTGGTGACATTAAACACAATATTTCACTACAACAACATAATGTTAACTTGTAGTGATGAGATTAAACACTGCTATGTTTCACCACAACAACAATGTTAACTTGTAGTGATGAGATTAAACACTGCTATGTTTCACCACA